CACTTAGAAAGCCAAGCGTGCATTGGGCCTGCTCATTCATGCGTATGCCGTAAAATACAAGATGACAAGCTTGCAAAGTGCCTGGATCCTTTCTTCGCATTGGGTTTCCTCAGTCACACAAACACTTCCTCAAGCTTGTCCACTCCATGTTTGATCAAAATCCAAAAACTAAAACCTTTCTTCTCGACAGCTTTCTGAGATTTGGTCGATGAAAATTGAGCTGCTGCTCTTGCATCTGCTTCAGCTGCTGCGGCTGTTGCGGCTGCAGTTCGAGCCTTCAGCCTGTCAACTTACAGCAATGAGAGGTTCTTTGCGCTTTCATGCACAGTTTCTTTGCCGTTCATCTTCCCAGTAAGTTCTCCACTCCATAACTGTGGTTGCTGTGAAGATCTTCTGACCCGCTGCACGAAGGCGACCATTCAAATCACTGGCCAAGGCCTACACATTGACATGTAAAGACCCGCGGTCAAAGTATCAAACTAGACGACAGGGCGGCCCAAAAACACGATGATGACAATGATGGTGGTGATGATACTAATGTTGGTGATCGCAATGGTGCTGATGCAAAAAGAACGTGTGATAGCCTCAAGATACACCTGTGGGGCACTCTTGCACAACACTCTTGTAGAACAGTGTTGTGGGACACTCTTGCTGCACGCCCGTGTGCACACTCTCAGGACACTGTTGCGGGAAATGTTTGTAGGACACCCTTGTAAGGCACTGCTGGACATTTTTGTGGGCCTTTTTGTAGACCGCTTGTGGGACACTCTTGTTGGGCATTCTTGTGGCACGCTCTTGTGTGACACTCTTCTGGGACAGTGTTGTGGGGCGCCCTTGTGTAGGGAAATCTTGCAGGGCACTCTTGTGGGGCATGCTTGTGGGACACTCTTGTAGGACACTCTTCCCACTGCCCATGTTGCCCGTTCTTCAACGGCACAAAACCACGGAAGCGCACTTTGCGAAACCCCATGGCAAGGCGACATCACAGACGTACTTTCGCCGCACCTGTGCCACAGAGCCACTTCAATCACGTGACACCAAATTTTGACATCGTCGGACTCAGGCACACTTTGAAAAAATTGGCAAAGTGTAACTAGGAAATGCAATTTTTGCAATATGACAAAATTGCCACACACAATCAAAAATTACAGAAGGTGCTCACGTAGGAAACGACACCTGCTTGGGAGTTCCCAATTAAAAGTAACAATAGCTCAAATTCGGCGTGGCTGGTACCCATTACAATTTAAACAAAAAACACCAAGCCAGCGCCAAGCCGAGCCTCAAGCAGCTGCTCAGCCTTGCTGGAGCGTTTGCACTGTTCAATCGCGTAGAATCCTGGAGCCTTGTGCCCCCAGACAGCCAACACACAACTGCGACAAGCCACCCCTAAAAAAACAAACAGGACGAGACAACACAATATCCCCAAGTGACAACCTTTCAGTTAAACTTGCGAGCGCAAAAAATGGTAGTGGTTCTTTCATTCCGGAAAGACAAGCCCACCAAACAATCTTGAAACTTGAAACATGCGGTGCGATTTTATTAGAAACGCGCAAAAAGTGTTGCCCCCTTTCCTTCCAGGAGAAGTTCTGCAAAAATGATTTCTGGCAGATTGAAGAGAAATAGGAATTTGCTGTCCCTCCGGCGGGCCATTTTTCAGAAACCAGATTTTTGCAGTCGCTTTTGCACGGTTGTTTTTACTACCTTACAATGCGATTTCGAGTCTAAACGTTATTTTTGTCTTTTAGCTACATTTTCTTAGTTTTAAGTTTACATTTTTGTTTTTGCGTTTTTCGAATTGCATTTTACATTGTTTATCATTTTTTGATCGTTTTGTTGATTCCCGTGTTTTGGAACTTGCATGTTCGGGTCGCACTTTTGTGAAAATTTCCGATTGCATTCTTGGAGCCGCGGATCCCGTGTTTTGGTTTGCAACGTGGAGCATCGCAGCGCTGCTCCGCAAAACGTCGCTCTATGTACAGCGGTTCTGCCCGACTTCTCGGAGCAGCACTGCGCTTAGGGCGAAGTTTCGGGCTCCCCTGCTGCAAGTTTGATTGGGCAGGACTTGCCTGCTGCAAGGTTGCGCCGTTTAACTGCCGCTGCTGAAGCCTCAGTAGTCATTGGCAACTGTTTCCTGCCGCTGCTGGAGAACACCTCGCCCAGAAGAATCATTGCCTCTACGAGACTGGCAGCAAGCGAATGCCCTACACCCTCCAAGCAGCATTGTCCAGCGCAGCCTGCGAACCAGTTGCCAGCGAACCAACATTGCAGCCAATTATATATCACCAAGGCAGCAAAAATTAGAAAAAGAACCTCGAGGAGACGTTGGAGCAGCGTGATTAAAACTGTATTCAGATTTGCTTCTGGGAGAGGAGGAAGCTGATTAAACATCTACTGCTGCAGATTCGCAGATTGCACCCTCAAAACGATCGCAGATTCGCAGCCAGTGCCTTTCTCGCCAAAAAACAAAACACATGTTCAAAAAATGCAACCTCTAAAGGTTACATTTTTCTGGGTGGTAGATTTTGCATTTACCATTTAAGGTCGCATTGCCTGGGTCGCATTGCCTGCGTCTTTTTCATATGTAAAACTGTTTGACGACACTACAGCCTGCACCTACCCTGGTGATTTCAAAACAAGTTCCCTGTTGACACCACCAGTCATCCCGCTCACCAGCGACATGCCTCGCTTACGCCACAAAGTTCCCCGTTCCCCAACGGAACAGCGCCGCGCAGACGCGGTTTCCACCAAGGCCGCGCCAAGCCGCATTGGACAGCGAGACATAATTTCGCCGCGCCCTGCGGAGCATGTGCCACAGACCATGAGGTAAGCACATGACACCACACCGGTCACCACACCCCTAAAATCCCGCTCGCGCCGCACTTACCCATATCACGCCGACGTTTCCCAATACCTGACGGCGTGCAGGCACGCAAATGCACAAGTTGGAGCATCTTCCCACCCAACAGAAGATTTGAAAGATGTTCAAGTGTAGTTGCGTAGGTGAGTTTTGCATCTTCACCTGTATCTAAACACCTGTAACTACACGCCTGCGTCCGAGCACCTATCTAAAGATGGTCCTGTAGGCGCGCTGTAGCGGCTGCGTCGTCCGCGCGTCTGCGCGCGGACGACGACGACGACGACGACGAGGAGGAGGAGGAGGAGGAGGACGACGATGATGGAGCTGCGCTGGCAGCGGCGGCGGCGATGGTGGCGCTGGAGTGATCGCGATGATGATGGCTGCACTGACGGCGATGATGATGACGATGATGATGATGATGACGATGAAGATGACGATGATGATGATGATGACGACGATGATGATGATGATGACGAGACGACGACGACGACGACGACGACGACGAGGAGGAGGAGGAGGAGGACGACGATGATGGAGCTGCGCTGGCAGCGGCGGCGGCAATGGTGGCGCTGGAGTGATCGCGATGATGATGACGATGATGATGATGATGACGATGAAGATGACGATGAGGACGACGACACAAGGGTGATGATGAGGGCCGCGAGCGCTTGCCTCGCGGCGTTGAATCTGAACCGCCGCTCCAGATCCTGATTTTGCTCCTGCTGGTGTGGAGCCCAGCGGCTGCAGCTGGCCGCGATCGCCCTGCTTGAAGGGGGCGGGACATCCACCAGGACATCTATAGATCTTCTGTTGACTGAGCCTACTCATTGATCGGGAGGTTTTTGCAGTAGGCACAGGGCATGGGGGGGTTGGATCATCCATGTTTCACCACATCATTTTTTCATCATTGCCCACCCACCTATTATAGAAGAAATTCCCCCTAGGCCGGCTTCTATATGGTTACCTTGTCAAAAAATCACACAAACGGCCAATCAAATAGAAGTAGCTTTCAGGACAAGGTCCAACATACCGAAAGTAGCGCTACCCTCGCTCCACCTCAACAACTTTTTTCCCATACCCTGGGCCCACTTCTATGTAAGACTTCTTCTATTTCTTGCAGCTGTCAGCACTGTTTTTTGCTTCTGGAAGATTGACTGACACTAAGTGCTCTTTACAGAAGAAGTGATGTAGTTACCAGTGGCTCAAACCTGAAGAGAATGCTTGAAACTGGGCTGTGACCTATTTTGCATATTAAGATCACATTCACTTTATATGATATAGACATATATAATATATATATATATATATGTAGGAACCCAGCATTCCATGTGGGACAACTGTTTTTTGGCAACAAGCATGGCTGCGCCGCCTGCTACATTGGTGGAGAGTTTCCGGTGGGGCCATTTAGCTCTGGAATGGCGCCGTCAGCTCCTAGGTTTGTAGCTTCAGTACTTTCTAAAACTTTGACCTTCTATTCAATAGATCTTCTATTTGTGTAGAACGAAGAAGGGGTGATGCCTTTAGTTGAAGGGGCTAGCTCTGAGGAATGGGCATACAACATGGTGGCTGAAGGGGCAGAATCTACCCACGAGCTCCTTCTTCTCGGGGTACGGGTGTGCTGAGTGGGCCATGAACTTTTTGGATGCGGCCAATCGCCAACAATCTTCTTCTGCCACTGAACCCCTCTTTCGACCAATCTTCCAGGTAGAGATCAACCTGAAAGCTCGCCAGGGTGCCGGCCTTCACCTTTCAGATACTTGCTGCCAATTCATTGACATCAACACTTTGTTGAGCAAAGAGGACAAGAACAAGTTGATGGGCATGGATGACAAGGAGGACAAGTGGAAATTTCTGACAAGTGTGACCTTGGAAGAGACTCTCCTGTGCAGCAGACATACAGCCAGGAGTGGGCTGGCATCGGTGAAGAGCAGCTTTTGCATGAAGAACAACACTGATAATATAGAAGACTGCACAAATAGAAGATTGCACATTTAGAAAGAAACAGTCATAGATTCTCAACAGGTTCATGTTTCATGGAATGCAGCTACAGGATAGCAACCAGGTTGTTTCTAAATGGGATTGGCATTCCAAGCCCCTGCTCAGATGCAAGCCCGGATTTGCCGTTCTGGACATTAGCGGCTCTATGTGTGTGCACTACTCGACTTTGGGGAAAAAGGTCGACCACAAGCTCTTGAAAGAGGACGGACCTGCCAACAATCTCCTGCTCATCTACTTGGTTTACCACAAGAATCGCGGGACGGCATTGCTGTTGCGTGAGAACCTGAAAGCATTCTCCACAGAGTACCTGGAGGGGCTCGCGAAGGAAGCTGGTTATCAACATCTTGCTTCCATCATCGTGGAGGCCAGTGATGCGGGTTTAAGTGTGAATCCACGATGTCGGAGGCATCTCGCCTGTACATTGCGATATTTGTCAGACTTGAAACAGGTCCCGACGGGTGGGAGACCAGGGGCATTCTAGATTTCCACCTTCTATGTGTAAAATCTTCTATTCACAAATCCCGCACCCCGGTGTTTTCTTAGGTATGACGTCTTCATTTTGCCGGAGATGTGGAACGTCCATGGGAATCCTGCAGACGCCTACAATTCCATGAAGCAGCACATCAAGGATCAGATTGAGCCGGTGCACCTGTCCGATGTAATATGGGTGACCCAGGAACATGATCTACGAATGGAAATGCAGGATTCCTACAACAGGAATTGTGAGCTGCCTCTGGACAAAGTCGCTTCAATCTCCCTGCAAGACTGGACTGCCCTGCTGAGCCAGGAGGAGCGTGAGAACTATAGTGGTTATCTCAAGAGACTTGACATGGCAGACAAGGAGGTGCAGGATCGGGAGCTGTGCGTTGTGGCAGTACAACAGGACCCCGTCGCCTTCCCCATGCAGTCCAGAGGTGGCACTTTGCCTGCATTCACCACAGACAGCACCAAGAGATTGATGGTAACCAACAGGGACAGATGGATGCTGGCCAAGGAGAAGTTGGCTTGCTTTGGATTTCCAGTTTGCAAGGCCGGGTTGGGTTCAATCATGTTTAAGCTTAGTATTCTTCTATTTTGGCCAACTTCTATGTGTGCGATCTTCTATCCTTTGGCTTGTTCACAGTCTCTATGTGTTTGATCTATCCTCTCTGGCTTCTCCCTGAGGAGTTTGCAGATGTAGCAAAAACGCCTGTATTGGACATAGGTCCAAATGAGGGTTGGCACCGCTGTGTTGGGAACAGCATGGTAATCCCCAATGCGGGCATGGTCATCTCTTGTGTGTTGAGCTGCATATCGCCGACTGCCAAGCTGATGGGGCTGATTTGTAGCTATCGCGGTGCCCATGAGCTCCAGGGATTGCCTCCAGTGATCAAGTACCATTCTGGATGGAAATGCTGGAGGGTGGAGGTGGGAGGAACCCTTCACCGCATGAAAGACAAAGAAGTGCCTCTCCAATAGCGCAGAAGAGTTGTTGATTGGTGGGGGATGTTTGTGGAGTGGGGTGTTGTGCTTGTTTGATTTGGTTAATCCCTTCCACCTAAAAAAACACGGGTTCCTCCCCTACTAAAAATTATCCGGCGTGGCTTTTCTTGATAGGGGTCCCCAAAATAGGGCGACCCGCAAAGATGCAAAGCTGGGAAGAACTTCAAAACAAAAAAATTGCCTATGAACATTTTTTATAAAATCCTTTATTAAACTTGTATCAAAAATTGAAAAAACCTCCAGATCGAAGGGATAGAGGGATCGAGGAACCTAATTATGGAAAAATACAAATGTTTGCAGTTTAGTAGTAGTGCTTTTTTAAAAGGTACACTGGATTGCTCTCTAAGGCTGGCGTCCAACTGGCCAAATGGCTCTCGAAACAGATGAAGGAGTTGAGTATGTGCAAGATGGGCGATTTGAGGGCGGAGCTTCAAGCTTCTGGCCACAAGGTCCCAAAAAAGAAGGAAGATGGTGTTCAAGCAGTCTTGCGATTGCGCTTCAAGAAGTCTACCTTTGAGTGCACCTGCAAAAGCTGCCAGGAGATTTTGTGAGCATTTGCCGCCTCGTAGAGATTTTTTTTGGTGAGGAACGGAATGGACTTATCTAATAACATAACTACTGACTTCTATTACAACGATCTTCTATGTTGTCCATCTTCTTTACAGTTCAACAGGTTCTCTGATTTGTCCTGCTCATTGCGGCTTGAAGGAAAAGGGCCTGAAGCCTTCAAAGCCCAGCGACCAGGACACGAAGGGCCCTGCGGCCATGTTGAAGGGGTGCTGTCACTTTAGATCATGTGATTTTCTCCTCATGCTCTCGTATTGCATGTTTTGCCCAAGCCAGACCTGTGACCAAAGCCACACCTGTGACCTCTAGACTCTAGCCCTTTCTCCTCCTGCCTATTTCGTGCAATGGTGGGGTTGGGTGAGCTGGTGATGGCGACCTTGGCAATTTCACTGAGCCTCAACATGATCATGGTGGTGTCCTTCTTCAGATGCCGCCAGAAAAGGAGCAAGGAACTTCTCAAGACTCGCGGTAAGCAACAGAGTGGTGGCAATGAGGACCTGATCAAGACTAGTGGTAAGCAACAGAGTGGTGGCAATGAGGACCTGATCTTGCACTACAGTGGATCACACGTATACCATCACCCCAGTTGCCATCATGTGACCAGGAAGGGTAACAGTAAGCCTGAAGAGTTGAGGCCTTGCCGTGTTTGTTGGTCAAAGTGACAGTGGATCAAAAGTGTCCGTCCTGACCTTCAAACGGGTCACAGTTAATGCTTTGATGTGGGCGACAAAGCAAAAATATGGATTCAGGAAAGCAAGTGGATCTTCTATATTAAATATCTTCTATGCAAATTGCAGGGTCTGAGCAGCCTCATATTGCAGGAGGCTTTCAAGTTATTCCCCCCAAGTCCATCGTTGCCAGGAGACCGCCAAAGTGTCTATGTCTAAGAAGCACCACTTCGAGGCCAATCCTTCCCACATGACCGCAGCTTCTATTTTTTGACTCTTCTATGTGTTAGCACTATATATTTGCAGTTGTTGACGAACAGTTTGGTTTCGTTATAGTCATACTGTCCTACACTCCCTTGATCTCCTACTCTTTGGGAGGAAATGCAATCTACAACAGCAGCACCGTCTTCAGCCGGAACGAAAACAAAAAAGCACGGAGAGGCCAGTGATGGGGATTGAAATAGAGATGTATTAAGAACAAGATTAAGGAACAGGTCTTGGAGGCCGATTGTGTGGCAGCTTCTTCCCCCAGCTGTGACCTTTTGACACGCACTTTTTGCAGGAAGCACCATCTACACCAGCGGCAACGCCTTCTACCGGCAAAGAGCACACCAAGGATCCGGAGGCGCCTCGCCTTTGACTGTCACTTCATGACCTGGTAAGACTTACTTCTATATTTGCAACTTTCTATTTCTGTGTGCAGCCTTCTGTAGGATGTGCTGTGGGTTGAGGTTTCTAGGGTAGCGGTTTGAAGATCTGGCCAGTTGTTTGGTTTGTAGGAAGCATTATCCACACCAGCTGCAGCAACGACTTCAGCCGGAAAGAACAAGAAGGAGGATCAGAAGGCCCCTCCAGCTTCTATCTGTCAACTCTTCTATGTGAAAGCGCTATGTTTGCAGTTGTGGGCGAACAGTTTCATGGGTAGGAGGTTCCGTTGCTGTCCTACACACTCCCTGTATCTCCTACTCGTTTGGAGGAACCACCATCTACATCAGCACTGTCGTCTTCAGCGGGAACGGAAACAAAACAGGACGCAGAGGCCGGCCATGGGAATTGAAATAGAGATTGTGTAAGAATAAGCTCCAGGAACAGGTCTTGGAGGCCTACTGTGTGGCAGCTTCTTCCTTCAGGTGTGACAGGTTGTTTGTTTGATGTTTTCGATACCAACTTTTTGCAGGAATCACCATCTACACCAGCGGCAATACCTTCCACCGGCAAAGAGCAGACTAAGGATCCGGAGGCGCCTTGCCGTTGAGTGTCACTTCATGACCTAGTAACCAGTGACCAAGTAAGACAACTTCTATATTTGCAACCTTCTATATATTTGTGCAGCCTTCTGTGGGACTGTTTTGGTTGAGTTCTCTAGCATAGTGATTTGAAGATTTTGCCAGTTCTTGGGAGGGAGGTACAGTTTGTGCTTTTTATCCATACCAGCGACAGCAACCAGTTCAGCCGGAGCCAAAACGAAGAACCAGAAGGCCCCTCCTGGGACTGGATTGAATCTCCACATGAAATAGACTTCTATGTTTGTCAATCTTCTATATGATAGGGTTGTATCGCCTTCTGGACAGGACTCCTCATCTACACCAGCCACAGCAACATCTTCAGCTGGAATGGATTCAAAGACAAAGGGCTTTGAGGCACATCCTGGGATGGGTTTCAGCTCTCGGATGAAATCCTTCATCATATATATATGTGTATTCGATTGTGCTTTCAGCAGCAAATGCCCGAATATGCACATAGAGGAACTGGAGTAGAGGGTTAATCTGTGGGAACTTCACTGCTTTCCTACGCTTTCCACTCCTGGACAGGAAGCGTTGCCTACACCAGCAACCAAGAAAAAAGCCAAGAAACATGTGGAGGCCTATCCTGTGGCAGCTTCCAACTCCACGTGATCAAACTTCTATGTTGAAACATCTTCAATGTGACACGTGGGTTTTGGCACATTCTTGTTGGTGAAGTTATCCAGCGGTTCTTTAGCTGCCAAAAGCATGGACGCGTTTGGAAGTTGGGAGAGTTGTATATAAGTCTGTGCACACTTCTTGGCAGGGAGCATCATCTGCAGCAGCAACAGCAGCGTCTTCAGCCGGAACGGAACCTAAGGAGCTGTTGACCTTTATCTTTCTTCTATGTGTCCAAACTTCTATTTGATTGCTTATCATTTTTGGTGTATCAATTAAATGGATGAGAAAGGCCTTCTAACTTCTATACATACAACTCTTTTTTACATAAGTGGAAGTCTTCTGTCTGTGGGGAGCGCTCAACTCGAGATAAACCCCAGGAGAAAAAAGTGCGCTTCATTTTGGCTGGCAAATTCTACGACCAAATCATCAAGCAGGAAAAGTGCCAGGAGTTCCGGGCAGCCAATCCTTATTGGGAGAAGCGACTGGAAGGCTGTACCCATGCGCAGTTTCAGAAGGGTCACTAGGTGTGGCATGGAGAATGTTTCATTTGTGGGTCCAGCGTGCAGCTCCAATGCGTTCTGTGTTTGATATTCCCTCTATGGAGTCAAATTCTATGTTTTCTTTGTTGAGGCTATGATCCCAAGACGTTGACACCGCCCGTTTCAGTCCTGGACATCACCAAAATCACTGGAAAGGAAGCCGCGTATGCACTGAACATTGCGATCAACGGGGAGGAATACTTGAAGCTTTTGGGTGACAATGGCATGGTTTTTCGGATCTCCTTCAAGCCCTTGCAGCTGGAAGAAGAAGACAAGAAGCGCCTGTTTGAGGCTTACTGCAATCAAGATTGTTGGTTGCCGTGGTTTGTGATGTGGTGAAAGGAGAGGACAGGAGAAAGAAAATTGTTGACAGCGACATGAGAAGAAACCCACTCACAAATATAGAAGAACATGCGCATAGAAGCATATGCATATAGAAGCCACTACTACTGTCCCGGCGCAGGGAACCTGAACCCACTGGGTCTCAGGTAGTTGCCAAGCCCACTGCTATGTAAAGAAGAATATTTAGATGAAAATTAGTTCTACTTGTTTTTCTATTTTCAACCTTTCCTTCAAACCGACTCCAAACATCAGTGGAAGACAGGAACTGAAGGAATATGATCAGGAAACTATCCAAAAACATTGAATTTTGCCCAAATTTCAAAAAAGATCCTAAATTTCAAGAAATGGCCTCAAACCTCTTGAAACCTCAAGGAAAGGCAGGAACTGAAGGAATATGACCAGGAAAATAACTAAGAATTAAAAATTAACTAGCTACTTTTGGTTCACTTTTTCTCCTCTCCCCCTGTCTCTGTGTCTATTCCCTTAACGGGGGGAGTCCGTTCGACTCTTCGGACCGCATCTTGAAGCACGGCGGTCCGGGTGCCGAGAGATGTCGGTGAAGCATCGGTCAGGACTCCAAGTAACGGGACCGGTCACTCATCACTCCTTCCCGATCCACCGGGACCCGGGGGAACGATGTCCTGAAACATCGGTCCCCTCCCATTAAGGGAATAGACACAGAGACAGGGGGAGAGGAGAAAAAGTGAACCAAAAGTAGCTAGTTAATTTTTAATTCTTAGTTATTTTCCTGGTCATATTCCTTCAGTTCCTGCCTTTCCTTGAGGTTTCAAGAGGTTTGAGGCCATTTCTTGAAATTTAGGATTTTTTTTGAAATTTGGGCAAAATTCAATGTTTTTGGATAGTTTCCTGATCATATTCCTTCAGTTCCTGTCTTCCACTGATGTTTGGAGTCGGTTTGAAGGAAAGGTTGAAAATAGAAAAACAAGTAGAACTAATTTTCATCTAAATATTCTTCTTTACATAGCAGTGGGCTTGGCAACTACCTGAGACCCAGTGGGTTCAGGTTCCCTGCGCCGGGACAGTAGTAGTGGCTTCTATATGCATATGCTTCTATGCGCATGTTCTTCTATATTTGTGATGGACTGACTGATTGACTGACTGACTGACTGAGAAGCTGGGGGGCCTCCAACAGCATACACCGGAATTCACACAACGACGTTCATTAGCCAGTGCCATGCATTGTTGTCGCAAATCCTGAAAAGGATGTATGATGTATGAGGAGGAGTGAGGAGAAGAGAGGAGAGGAGAAGGAGGAGGAGGAGGAGAAGGAGAAGGAGAAGGAGAATGAGAAGGTGAAGGTGAAGGAGGAGAGGAAAGGAAGGCCTAGTTCTGATCAAAGCGGCTTGGGAGCTGAAAGCGGTGGAGGATTAGGACTAGGAGTTTGGAGCGAGGGAGCTTGGAGCGTGCAATCCACGTTGCAAACATATACCATGTTGACTGCGTGCTATTGCTGCTCTAATTCCTTAATGTCTTAATGTCTGTTCTTTCCTTGATGCGTTCAGGTTTTTAGACTGTTCTTCTATGTCTAATATCTTCTATTCACAGGGGAGAACTCAGAAGAGTGAGGACCTGACATTTGTGGCCCCAGGCCTTCCAAGCCTTTGGGAAAACCAGGGGCATGCACCGAGATTTCAACCGGACCTTTTGGACACCGGTGGCTCTCCCCCTCAAGAGAATACATTTCCTGTCTTTCCTTGATGTTTAGAGTCTCTTTGACGACTTTTGTGTTCAAGGAACCCTGTCAAGTTTCTCTGTAGAACTTCTGGGGCAACTGGTGACCTGGGGACGGACTGACCTGGGGACTACCGGTGACCTGGGGGCAGTTGCCAGGCTAGTTAGGTATTAGGAAGCGGTAAGCATCAGGTCCAGCCTCACTGGTCAAAGTGCCAGGCGCCCCCCCGATTGGCTTTCTTTGGTTTTTGGTGTGGTGAAAGGAGAGGATAAGAAGGGAAGGAAGGAAAGTAACAGACACAGGAGAAGAAAACCACTCAGACATATAGAAGACCACACGCATAGAAGTATATGCATATAGAAGTCACATTAAAGTATCTATGCTCTATGTTGTGTTGGTTAGTTTCAAATCCATAAGTATATATAGGTGGGTTTTCCTTTGGTTCCTGTTTTGAGCTTCTCAAGGATTGAAACCACAAAACAAGGAAACAACAAACACAAATCGGGTTGAAACTCTGGTCCCTTCAGGCTTCCATGGACAAAGGAAGCCGAGCAGCATTGAGCAGAGTGAAGGATACTCGACCCGTGGATATTGAGTCAGAAGAAGTCGTGAATCTTGAGACATTCTTGAAACCAGCTGGAGACCGCCCAGTCAAGAATCCCCTCGAATTGAAGCAGAAAAAGTTGCGCGGAGTTCAAATTCCAGAGAATTTCTTCAAAGCGTTTGTGGAGCTTGCGTGGGCAAGGAATGATGGGAGGGAGTTTGTGGGATGGATTGCAGGTGTCGAGGAAAAGCTTCCTCGAAGCAAGGAAACGGCCATTTTTGTCAAGGGACTCTACGTGCCAAAACAATCAGGAACGGACTGCTCAGTGACAGCAGCTGATTTGGATGGCAAAAGTGATCGCCTGACCGAGTTCCTTGAGCAGAATGCGCTGAATATTGTGGGATGGGTGCATACCCATCCCACATTTGATGCCTTTCTGAGCAGCATCGATCAGCACATGCAATTCTCCATTCAAAAGCAGCTCCCAAAAGCCATCGCCGTCGTCTTCGACAAGAACAAATGGGCTCGAGTCATGAGATTGAGTGAGAAGGGTATGGCTGTAGTGGAGGCTTGCGTTGATACACCCACAACAGCCCACGAACACTGCTCCTCACACGAAGAGCTGGTTGTGGACGTTGAGTACTTCACTCACTGCAGCGGAAAGCATAGTAGACTTTCAGTTCTCAACGACAATGACCAAGAGTTGACATTTGAATGAATTAGGACCGGAATTTCAACTGTTACATCGGTTGTACCTTCTATTTGCCGAAACTTCTATGTGGGGTCATCTTCTATTCATTAAGCCCCTTTTGATCCAAGGATTGAAGATTCCATCCAGAAGTCAGTGCGCCAGAAGGTGGAGAAGCAGAAGGCCAAGGAAGAGGTGGCTGAGGACACTTCAGTTTCAAGGCAGCCTTCAACCATGTCACTGTCAGGTGGTTCTCAAACTACTACACCTTCCCGCTCTGTCAATGCTTTGCTGGAGTCTTTGAAATCAGTGACAAACGCATTGCTGGTGGCGCTACCTCAATTGATGGTGGGTCAGAAGGTAGAGGATTTTGTGAGTCAATTGAGCAGTTTGTGCGCCAAGTGCCCCGCTCTGGAAGAGGCCTTGGAATGCATTGGCTTTGATGCAGAGACCAAGAAGTTCAAGGAGGATTCTCCCCAATGGTTCGCCATGCCTGCCCTTTTGCTCCAAAAGACGACTGAGGTTCAGAAAATCATGGATGACATGGAGTCTCTTGGGCCAGTGCCGGGTAGGGTTGGAAGACCATTTGGCAGCAAGGGCAGAAAGCGGGTGCCATCTCCAAGCCCTGTGAATGCTGATGCTGAAGCCCCCGCCAAGAAGAGCGCAACCAAGTCATCCTCTTCCAAAAAGAGGAAAGGGGCAAAGAATAAGAAGCAGAAGCCAAATCATTCAGAAGAAGAGGAAGAAGCTGCTTTGGACCCAGACTCGGTGAAAAAGAAGCTCTTTGAAGAGTATGAGGACCCTTTCGCATCAGACATGGACGTGGAGGAGAACTCCGGTAACAAGGCAGCCTGCGTCCCTCTGTACAAAAAATGCTTAGCGGTGGAGCTTGGGAAGCGCCTGCAGCAAGAAGGCAACTGTAGAAATATTGAGAAGGAAGTGATGGGGCGCTTCAAGAACCTTTTTTGGAATGCAGACCTGCAACGTTGGAAAACAGGGTTGCTTTGCAAATGGACGAAGACTCTAAGCCCCAACTTGGCCGGCTGTGTTTCCTCACCCCGTGAATGTTTCCTACCCCTCTAAATCGAAACAACACGTAGAAGAGTGGGTGCATAGAAGATGTTCCAAATAGAAGTTCGAGCCATTTGGCCGCCCAGGACCTATGAGAAGGAAAGCCACCACTTGATCCCTTGGAGCGTGATGTCCAACAAGGAGAAGCAAACCATGAAGCAGGTTCCTGATTGGCTCAGGAAAGCCATGGGGCTCGAGACCCGCTTTGCCAAGGGCCACCAAAACATTGTCCCTTTTCAGGTAGAGGCGACACTGAATGACACCCTTGAAAGGATGATTGGCGGCAGTTCCAGGTGCCTTCAAAACGCGGCCAACATCAAGACTCAAACGCTGCTCCAAACTGCGCACAAGATACAGGGTCTCTGGAAGGAAGCATACTTGGAGGTGTGTGAGACGGAAGGGGCAGAACCTGAAGTGTTCAGAGATAACCCTGTGGATCGGAAGTGGCTCCACCGCTTTTTGCACCGATGGCAGTGGGGGTATCTCTCCTCAAACACAAAAGGCTGCTATCTGGCAGATGATTGCCAGGAGATGATCGACACCAGGAGAGCACACCGAGCCCAGCGTGCTGCACATGAGGTTCCATGGGCCCTGGTCTTGAATTTTGACCAAATGTGGAGGAGTGCATATGAGCCTCCAGATCGCCTACTCCATAAGACATCGGGCAAGCGGAAGCCTGGAGGTGCTGAAGAATTTGGAGAGTTGCATGGTAAGGTGATTGAGGAACAGTTTGATGAAGTGTCCAAATTTCAATGACATATAGAAGCTCTGTAGGATAGAAGTGGGGGCCGATAGAAGTCATTATATGTATCAGTTGTTATTTCACCACTTACCACTTCTTTTTAAGTTTCGAGATGTGGTTTCAATTGAGGCTACGTCCGGAGGATGTCAAGGGCAAGCGTATGGAAGCCGTGCTCAGTGTGGCCGGTGGAGATATGGCTAGCAGAATGGGTCTTGCAAAGGCCTCCAAGCTGAGGAAGACAGTTCCAAGGAGCGAGTTTGTGGTGGGTGCCAGGTTCGGTCTGACCGCTGTTTCAAGTCTGTGGGGGTCAGGAGAGGTGGGCCAATTGGGGATTTGCGTCCCTTCCAACAGTGTGACCCGGAGTTTCCGAGAAGAGATCAACAGCACCTTCTATGGCACCGTCTACTTGTTTGAGAGTGGCTCAGAATCCCATTTCATGACGGCAGAGACCACCTTGGAATATCTCAACGAACTCATTGCACCAGCCACTTGATCAAAAGAAATAGATGATAAACCACGTCCAAATAGAAGAAGTTGTACATAGAAGATACACATGGTTTAGATTTCCGGGGCCTTGGAGAAAGAAGGAGAAGGTGGGTTAGGGTACTTTTCCCCAGCTTGTGCGTTTTTTCCTCTAAATCAGGAGTCTGCTTCTCTCCCACCTTGCCTCTAACCGGTTCCATAGTTTTTCCTCTTCTATCTTTGGACTCTTCTATATGATTAGGCGGTGTGCTGACTTGAGGTACAAGTGATGGGGTGCATGTGTGATTTTTTACTCAGGCCCTTCAATTACGAAGGGCACACCTCAACGTGGACAAGACGGCAATGTTGGTGGCTGATGCCTTCACTGGCAACTTTGCCTACAGGAATGGTGAAGATGTGCGGAGGGAGGAATGGAGCCGGCAGCAGCGCTGCTTACTGCCACTCCGTCCACCGGGCGGCTGGAGTGCAACTGGTCAGCCATGCGATGGAGTGCATCACCTCTTCAGGAGACTGATCAATTGGTACATGGATGGGCAGCTTGGTGCCGGGGCTGCACCTTTTTCATAGTCATAGAACCTATATTGTATGTATATTCTATGTGTATATATATATATATATCAGTGCAGTAGTTCCAATCACAACCTTGTGAATCTCTTCTTCCCCCCTTGACCCTGCAGGCTATCATGAGCCTGGCCTCGAACAAGCTCAAAAGGCAGTTTTGCTTGGCACCAATTCCCAGAAACATGTGGAGGTGAAGCCGGAAGAAGCTGTGAAGGCTTTGATTTGGGGTTGGCAGCAAATGGTCAAGTACCCACGCCTGCTGAGATGGGCATGGGTGTCCCGGGGCTTGGTCTCGAAAGAGGAGATGGAGGCGATGCACCCCGGTTGTGACGTGGATGATGACCCACCGGAGGAGGGGCCTTTTAAGCAAATGGTGCCAGGAGTGCCAGATCTGGTCCCGTTACTTGGTCCGACTTTTGGCTGTTTTGTGGGGCTTCTTTTTAGAATGTCTTCTATATGGCGGGTCTTCTATCCACCTTTGCAATCCTTGCAATACTTTGTCCCTTCATTTGGCACAACTCTGGGAAGCCGAGGCCAAGCATTTCTGAGAAGCTGAGAGAGGCTTGCCCCAAGCGTCCTCTCCATATGTGGCAAATGCAAGACCCCTCAGAGGACTTGGTCACTGATGGAGAGGGTGCGCAGAAGTGGCTGAATTTGCCACGCGTGATGGCCGCCTTTGCAGACAAATCCTATGCCAAATACCAGGTCGATCTACACGAAGGTAGAGAAAGGCATGCCGGTGGTGAGATCAATGCTGCCAAATATCAGAAAATTGTGGATGATGCCAAGAAGATCTTGGTGCTTATGCACACCACCGGACAGCCTGCGACCAACAAATACATCCAAGAGCACATGGTCCAGGTGGAAGGCGGAGGGTACAAGCTCAAGACTGGTTCGAGGTCAACCTTAATCATCTTTGATTTCAAAGAAGCCAAGGTGAAGGTGGGCGCGTATTCATGGACTCCTCTCAGGGTGCTGAAGGCAGAAACAAAGTTTCAAGGCATCCACTTGGAGGCCGGGACAGCAGGAATTTAGGTGCCCAAATTAGCTTTTGTAGGAATCAGTCAGAAGCTTCTCAGGGGGGATTGTCTAGATTTTGACTTAGGGACACCTCAGGCCATGGACTTCTATCCCTCCCTGACCCTGACTTCTATTTGTAGAGTCTTCTATCCAAGTGCCCATGCACAGGTGGACACAGATTTCTTGAAGGGAAGTGCGCTTGGATCACTCATGGAAGAGTACGCTAGCCAGGAGGACCCGGAAGATGAGCCAGTTCCAGAGGCCAAGCCCGATGCGGAGCCAGAGGCTGATGATTTGGAAGCTATGGGCATGATGGTTCCAATGCGGGATGACTTGGAGGCTGCAATGTCGGAGATCATGCAGGAGGAGCCTTACCTGCGATCGCAAGAGGAATCTCAGGTAGATGAAGGTTTGGGGTTCGAGTTGGTTGACATGGAGGACATGATCCAAGGACAGGACTTAGTAGATGAAGTGGACATGTCAGTGCATTTTGACGTGGACGGCAACCTTTCCTGTGGACCTGGCCTTGATCACATTGAACATGTGACCAAAGACAATTCCAAGAAGAAGGAGGTGCAGTATATGTTTTCGCCCGCGTGGCAATATCTTCTGCACCGTGGCTTGGAAAAGGTTCCAGACATCAAGGGATGCGGTCTTTGTTACAACAGGCTTCTCGGACAAAGATGTTCTACATAGTCTATATCTATATATATGGTGGATCTTCTATATATTGGGTCTTCTATGTGTTGAGTCTTCTATTTGTTAGCTTACTCTTTGAGACTCAAACGAAAAGTGGAGAGCTGCAAACTCACCTGTCAGGTTTGGGCAATGGATAGGTCTATATCCTGGCAGGCCTTCAGTTGGACGCTCATTCAATCCAACGCTTCGAACGGAGCAGAAGGCTTTGCTCATGGTTTTGTGCAAGCTGTGGTCCTATCATTATCACGAAAGTGATGAGGATAAGGAGCAAATTAAAATTCATCTGGAGGTGTTGACTGACGAGTGCAACACCTGGTAGCCTAAAATAGGCAATTGCAGATGAGTGCAATGCAAGGTAGGGGTTTGCGCCCAAAAAGGGCATGAGGGCATTCACAAAACCATTGCCTCCTCAGCTGCAAAAAGGCAGTTTTCAATGCACACGTTGGAAGTTGCTTGTGTGTTCAATTTCTTCTGTGTGGGATACACGCACACACACACATACACAATCCTCCCTTCTCCTATGTGTAGTTTCTTCTATTTGCCAAACCCATTCGTCTTTCTACTCAGTCGCCAGGAAACCTTAAATTTGATACCCTTTCCAGGTTTTGGCAACATTTCAGGTCCAGGCCCCCAATGCCCCCACCGGGGGGTACTCCTCTGGAACTTTTTTGCGGTGGGCAGTTTCCAAAACGCAGGCGCAAATAGAAGATGTCAAAAAACACAGTGTTTTTAGCAGTTCTCAGATCCAAATAAATAGAAGATGTTAGGTCCATGCGAATTCCCTAGGTGAGGTAAAATTGGCTTTCAAGCTACTTTGGACAGATGAATTTCTTCTATATGGTTACCTTTGGTAAATACCCCAATTTGACCGACTTCTATTTAATAAATTAGTTCAATTTCTTCTATAATAGTGTCCTCTACTATATCATATAATTCACCACCCATTCATCCATCAAAAGGAAAGATCATCATCCCCACCCATTCCCCACATCATGAGCCATACCAAATTCACATTCATCTTCATTATCATAGGATCCATTATTCACCAACTCCCCCACTCATTCATTCATCTTCACCATCATAGTTTTTTTCATAAGAACCAACCTAGCCCCAAGGCCTTCGTAGAAAAAAGTAGTAAATAATAATCTAAATAACCGTTCCATCAACCGCCACTGCACTTCGTGGTGGAGAAGGGCATCAACCAAAAAAATGGTGCCACTGACCTGTTTATTTGCCAGTGCATGGGAAGGGGCAGTGAGACAAATCAAGAGTTGAAGCATGCAAGATGTTTGATGAGCAGTCTTGAAAGGCACATGTCAGTTGAAAGCACTTGTAGCATTTTGGCGCATCAATCAGCATTTGCCCTTCCATCTTTTGAGAGATGGCGCTTGCTTTCATCCGCTCTGGTGGCATTGTCAAACCAGCGCTGGTAAAGAGTGGGGGATTGGTGATCTATGAAACCCTCACTGATGAGTGCCCTGACCGCTATGAGATTGGGAAGTTGTCAAAAGACCAGATCCTTGCTATTGCTGTTCGTGGGAATTGCGATGTTCATTTCAAGGGCAAGAATAAGGATCAGATGGTTGAACTCCTCACCCGTCATTGGAACACTATCCTTCGTAATGTGCGCCGTGACTTTGGTGTGAGGGCAAGTGAGACAGAGACCAATCCAAGTGGCAGTGCTTCAGGTGGTGGATATGAAGTTCAGGTGGAAACCCCAGCAGTCCCAGAACAAGGCAGTGACACTTCAGGGTCTGATGATGATGGTGATGGCATCCCCAGTGAAATCACTGACACTTCAGATGAGGAGGAAGGGACACCCCGTGACAGTGATGATCAGACCTCACTCATGGAGTTTCTGGGCTTTGACTTTTCCGACGCCTTTGAACCTGATGAGGCGACTGAGGAGTTGGCATTGAGTGCATCCTATATGACGGTCTGGGATGACGCCATTGACTTTACCAAGGTTGAGGTTTATGAGTTGCGTGGCAAGTTTCTCTTCACTTTGAAGATGCCTTCCAATGCTCTGATCGGTGAGTTGAAGGAGGAAATCAGCGCAGTCATTGCAAAGAAGCAAGGCGAGGAGTGTGAGCATCCTTTGACCCCAGATGCCTTTGAGTTGAGGAATGCAAATGGGATCTCGATGGCAAATGTGGAACCTTTGTCATTCTATGTGACAGCAGGCAGTGAGACCTCATGCCGTGTTTGTATCAAACTCCTTTTGAAGGGTGGTGCCCCTCGTGTCAAGAAGATGGACAAGGATGAGACAAAGTTGAAGCGCTTTCTGGCAAAGGTCGGTCAGACGTGAGGGTTGTTGAGACCAATGAAGTTGATGAGTTTGCCAAGATTGTTGCAGATGTCAAGGGCATCAACCATTCTTCCATGTCCATCCAGAAGTTGATTGCTGGTGCTTCCGTTCAGACCCTTCAGATGGTCTATGACGACATTAACCCCCAGAGCAAATTTGGGAGGAAGTCCAACCACCTTTTGGAGGACACTGCCCATACTTTGTTGCCTTCGCTGTCAGCATTGAATGAGGCAATGGACATACCATCTGACCTTTACCTGTCAGTGCTTACCAAGTTCAAGGAAGCATATGGCGTCGAATACCATGACATCACCGAGAAAGATGCCCAGTTCTCTCACAAGAAATTCTTTGACGCAGTGGATGGGATGCTGAAGATGAAGAAAGAGGCAGAGATGGAGGCAATGAAGTCTCAGTTTAAGGCAGAAGCTGAGGCATATGCAAAGAACAAGTTTGATGAGTATGTGAAACGTGCTCAGTCATCGCAAGATGTGCCGATGTAAGCACTTTTGCAATGTGCAAGTGGTTCAAGTGCGGGATATACAAACCTGCCGGTGACATGTGGCAGATGAAGTGTAGTGTGATTGAACCCCTCTATGACCTTGCTGTCTTGCTGCGCTGTCCAAAAAGAGCATCCTTTTTGAGTTTATGTGTGGTTGAATGTCTTCTCATAACCCTGAAAATTCCGATCCAGAAATCCAAAAAATCCGATCCAGAAATCAAAAAAATAGAGGAAAACCCCTTGAATTTGCTGGGGGAGAAGCATTTCCAGAATTCCCGAAAATCCATTCCGGAATTCCAAAAAACTCATTCCAGATCAAAGGTCAATTTCATTCTACAAACTTGCTGAAATCTGCATCGTGGCAGGTTGATGACAAGAACTTCGCGCAATGGGAACTCAGAACCAGAGCATGGAAGGTGTCATATTGCTAAGCAGTCTGCAGAGTTTGACATTTTTGTGAGTATGATTTTTGGGGGATCTCTATATATAGTAACTACATATCCACTATATATAAATAAGTATAGTCACTGAAACAATTGTGATGCATCCTGACCTGCCAGAAGGTTTGAGAACACCGTGGATGAGATGGGGGGGGGGGGTGGGTGGGGTGGGAGAGTGAGGGAGTGTTTTTTTTTCCAATAACTAACTATCTATATATGTATATATATATGTATAACTGGATACTTGCTGATGAAGTATCCAGTGGATGGATGTGATGTCTTTTCTTAGATGCTTTTTCAATTTGGTTCAAAGTTGTTCATGAGATGGCTGATGGACACTTTTCGTGGCAGGCACTTAAAAAGATTATATCAAACTAAATTGATATAATCATTTTAGACAATCAGCATTGCTTCATTAACATCCTTTTTATACTTCCTCAGGTATTCACGGTTAGGTTTTTTTGGAGGTGGTTCCTCACTACTTTCTTCCAGTTTCTTTTGTTCTTGCAATTTAGCTTTCTTTTTCTCATAGTATCTTCTTTGAGTTTCTTTTCTTTTTTCACCAAATCTGGGAGGTCTCTAACTTTGTAGTAGTAAAGGCGTTGATACAATGCCATCTGTTCTTTGATTTCTTCAATGGATAAATCTTCAGGTTTTCTTGTGGTCATATTACTATAGTATATATATATGAATTATTTCTTTAGATATATATGACTAAATCTTATAAACTATATTATTTTCATAAAATAAATTTAGACTAAAACGCATTTAAAGAAAAATATATTATATAGTAATAATGTATGACCAAAAAACATATAAGAAAAAATATACAAACTTTAAGAAATCTAAGGGATGCTAAAATAGGAAAAGTCCCCAGCACCATACAGCAGAAGATCAATAACATTGTAGATCTTTATGAGGATCGTCGCATTGTTCAAAGGGCAACTGCAGAGAACCTTATCAACAACATATCAACTAATGATGCAAAGAAAAGGGCAAAGGGACTAAAAGAATACGATAAAAAGGTTGAACAATATGAGCAATCCCAACCAGCAAGTGAAAGAATGAAGGAGCAATTAGAAAAGGCCAGACAGGCCAAGGTAGTAAAGAGTGTAAAAAGAAGAATCACAGGAAAGACCAAGGCATCAGCAGTATCAAGATTATTCAGGGAAGCCCGCAACAGAGGCATAGGCAACAGGAAATTATATTCAATAAAGTTTATGCTTTACTCCATGGATCCCATAGGTAGTATTGTAAGAGGCAAAAGGATTAACAATATTATCTATTATCCCATGTTTGAAAATGGCAGACCCAGAGAAGCAAACATTAGAGCTGGTGAATTCATTGAAACACTGACTAATAGAAGAGTGACTAAACAAGCTGAAAAACCACTGTTTAAAAAAAAACTGTTGATGTGTTTAAAAACTGATCAATTGTTATTGGATACTATGCCAGACATGTTAGATTATATAGATGCCATTCAACTGACACCGGTTAATAGAATTGATGATGATGGCAGACCATACAACATAGAAGAAGAGGGACTGAAAGAAACATCAAATACTTCTATTTATCATTTCTACCATGAGACCCTGATTGATCCAGACAAGGAATCATTAAAAGAAGCAATCCATCATAATAACATTAATGACAATGAGCGTTGGATAAATGAACTCCTTAAAACCTATGAAGGCACTGAACTAACAAGAGTGAAGAGAGGGAAATTAGCAAAGACACTATCAAGAAACAAAATACTAGAACTATTAAATATGACAGAGGATGAGATCCATCAATATGGCATATCAATAAATCAAATGAAAAAGGTCTTTACCTTCTTTAACATCCCTGTTAAACTATACGATTTTCAATGCCAGTTGATCTACAGATTTGAACCTAATAACTATAAACATGGGCATAAAATGAAAATTTTTGTAGCAATGATTAAAAATAATCATGTTTATCCCATCAATGCCAATCAAGACAGATTAAGACAGTTGAAACATGAGACACCTGTAGAACTGACGGTATCCAGCAATTTTTTCATCAGTGACAGGGATGAACCTCCTAAATACATAATGTTCAGTAATATAGATGAACTGCTACAAATGAAAGATCAAGATGAATATTACTTAATACATAAAGAAAATAACCTAAATGATGTATTGTTTCAATTTCAAAAGGTAGGTTATGAACCTTATATAAAATATCAAGGCAACAGAATAGCAGAGATAAGGGCAAGATACACAGATAAGAAAACAAAAAAAGTAACAACCTACATCATTAAAACTCAAGATCTGGCAGTTGATGCCATAGAGAGGGATGTTTATACAGAAGTTGAAGATGAATATAATAAAATAGTAGAAGCAAATTTTAATGTTAATAAAAGTATTTTTTCAGAAAACCAGAAGTCAAAATATGATATGACTGATGTAGCAATACTGGATGAATGCAGAACTATAGTCCCATTAGGTTATTTTGATAAAAGCATTGATACAAAAAATTAGTAGAGATTGATAGAACTAAAGCCTTTACGTGGGCATTCAAACAGATTAGATACATACCGGTTTTTAATGAGTTTGATAGTTGGAAGCATTACAGTAATGACATTGATATTAATGAGTTATCCAGCTTAACATTGTATATGGTAGAAGTTAAGGAATCAAATGTATTTTTAAGTAAGAGGTATAATTTAGTATATGGAAAGTTTTTAAGAAAATTTTTTGAAACAAATACTGAAATAAAAATATTTTATATAAAATCCCTTCCTTCATTCATAAGGTCAATTATGATCAGGTTGTTAATGAACTATGGGAAACTGATCTCACTAAGGAGGATAAAAAGAAAATAGGAAATATTACTTTTGGAATGCTAGAAAAATCACATAACACTGCGCGGAAGAGCTACTGCTTTAACAGTTTGAGGGAGGCATGTCATTATCAAAGGGGGTTTGGAGGAAGGATACATGCCATTCAACAAGAAACAAAAGAAGTAAAAGATGATGAGGAGAAAAGATACAAGGGTAAAACCTACTACATCCTAAACACCACCAACAGAAGCAAATTAGTCAATGGCTTTAGATATATAAAAGAGATGCTACTTCAATATCATAACTTTTCAATGTATGAGGCATATAATAAATTGGTAGAAAATGATATTAAGGTTTAGTGAAGAGTGATGCCTCTACAATCCATGAAGATGATCTGACCAGAGTGATGGGCAAACCAAATCATTTCATTAAAACATTAAGGGATGGACTTTTGAACTTTGAAGAAGGTATAGGCAACTGGAGGCTCACCAGCAAATCAATAAATTTTCCATCTAACAAATACATATTTAGATACAATGATCTAATTGAAATTCCTAAAATAGAAAATGAAGAAATAGATGTAGTGGATGAATGGGATACACCGGGAATTTGTAATCAAATCATTCAACAAAACCCATGCGTGATCAGAGAAAAATTCGCAGGATCAGGCAAGTCATACATAGGGCAGTATTTTAAGAAGATGGGCAAAAATGTTTTATTCGTGGTGCCTCATAATAGGTTAAGTCAAGAAATAGAAGGTGATTCAACAACCTATAACATGTTCTTTAGAATTGCAGTTCATAAGGGTGATGAACTACCAGAGTTTGACCATAGTGATTTTGATGTTATATTTTTTGATGAAGTCTACATGACCAATCTGTATATCTATAGTAAGGTTTTAAACTTTACTGACAAAATAAAAGCAATAAAATCATCATAGGAGCAGGTGATACAAAACAGTTAGAGCCAATCAATGACTTAACTAACACCCAACCGCATGATAAATATGCTGACCAATGCATGGACACGATCTTTAAATATAACATTTTTCTTAAAGTTTGTAAAAGGGTAGGTGAAAAGGATAGAAAAGTATTGAATAATTTGTATGATGACTTCTGGATACATAAACTGCCTATGAGAAATATCATTGATAAATACTTCAAATATACAAATCAAATTAACAAGACTGATATGAACATTGCTTACAACAAAAACCGGTGTAGATATGTATCAGATGAAGTTAGAAAGCAATTAGGATATACTAAACCCTATGTTGTAGGTGAAGAGTTGGTATGTAGGCTTTACTTGAAACAACATGGACAGAAGTTTAATGCCAATATTCGTTATAAAATTTTATGTATAAAAGGTTCAAATATTACATTTCAAAACATCAAGACCAAGGACATTCATACATTAGATGAAGAAGTTTTATACAAACACTTTAGATATGGCTACTGTGCTACATGCCATAGTTGTCAAGGGGCAAGCATTAAGGAAAATATAACTATTCATGAGTGGCAACATCCCAGACTATCCAGAGAGTGGGCATGGACAGCACTAACAAGAGCAACTGATTTTAATAATGTATCATTTTATCAAAATATTGATGCTGAGCAAGAAAAACAAGAACAGAAATTGAAACAGTGAGTTAAAAACAAGATTGAAGGATACAAACAACAAGATAAGAAGGCAAATAGGGAATTGAACTTAGATAATTATGTTGATGTGGATTGGTGCTTAAGTAGGTTGAATGGA